TGTCCAGCATCTCAAATCATTTGACAGGAATGCGTTAATTAAGATTATTTATGATTCTGGAGACAAATATTTCATAATGGCTTGCGCGCGGCCAAACAAGCATAATAAGCAAAATTCCTTCACAAATTCTTCTTTGGAATTGAATTTAACTTGAACTCAAAATAATAATCACCCTTGTGGGGATGTAAGACCATAGGCCTTCATTTGTATCTATAGTCCTTAGAAGTGAAGTCAACTAATCCCAATATCACCATTACAGGAGGCGATATGACTCTTTTTCTCATCAAAATCCACAGCTTCTTGCACGAAAAACTAAAAATGCTGCTCTGCAACATGCATCAAATTTAGAGGTTCATTGTATCTGCGCATCATTTAGCTCTGTATTTGAGAAACAATCTTAGTCACTGTCTTCAGGGCTGGGGATTTTTCCTGCTTTTCAGGGGTTTTTTCATGAAATGCTAAAGGTTTTTCCAATTTTCCTTATATCCAATGCTTTAAATTCCTCCAGATTGCTAAGATCCTTCGTAACTCTCAGGGGTTTTCCTTGTTTGGAATTCCAAACTTAAGCCCCTCAAAGTGCATAATTCTTTCCTATATCTGAGATTTTCTTTCTTTTTGATCTAATTTCCTAGATTTTGATTTTTCTTGGAGTTTATCCTGGTTTTTAGCGGTTTTCCAGACCTCTGAAAGTTGTCACAATTTCTATTTACCTGAGGCTTCCCCTTCGTATAGTCCTCATTTACTTCTGGTGTATCTTTGTTCCGAAGATTTCTCAACTTTTCGGATGGGATCAGTTTGGAGGATCCTGACTTGTTTTTCTGCCAAACGCTCCAGATTTTCTCGATTAAACTATTTTTGTGGTCTTCCCGATTTCTGAAAAGTTCTCCTCCAACGTCTTCCTTAAGATCTGGATTACACTCTTTTCTTAAAGTAGGGTCATTCTTGTTTTTGGGGTCTTCTCCAATTTTTCGTGGTTAAGATTTTTTAGATAAAATTTCTACAAATCTTGATTGGTCTGCATGTCTTTGGAGCTTTTTTCCATAAATTTTCAAATTTTTGGAGTTTTCTCACATTTTGGAGGGCTTCTGTATCCCTACTGAGTTTTTTGATACTTAAAGATCTCTTTCAGGAGAATTACGAGGTTTAGAAGCTTACAGTTTTCTAGAAGTTTTCCTAACTCTTTAGTTCATTTTGGGGGTATCTGACGATTTTTTAAAATTTTTTGGAAGCGTTCGCGATTTCTAGATATTTTCCCATTTCTTCAGTGATTCTTATTTTTATAGGTTTTCTTTGTGGAGGTTTTGCGATTTTGGAGTTCCCCTGTCTTCTTCTGAAGGTTTTCTTTCGGGA